TGTCAGTTTGAAGTGAGCTTTGTCCCAAAGGTTTTGAATTGCAGTTCATCGGTCAAATGTGATATAATAACCTTCAACAGAAATGATGATTTGTTTTTCAGACCAAATATTCATTTAAATCAATATGCTGTTATTATATCTCTAGACTGCACACTTTGTTAAATGAAGAATTAATAATTAATCAGAATTCCTGCTTGCACCTTTCACTCCAATACTTAACACAGTTCTGAGATTTGAACCACACACAGTATCATAAATACTTCAGTCATGCTCTTTGAACTTTGAAAAACTACCTAAAAAATCTCCATATATAAAGCTTCACCAAATGCAACAACTACATGTTTTTACTAGATTATTACTAGAATCAGCAGCTGGGATGTTAACAGGTTTTTGAGGGAGACAGCTCATTCACTGGTTCCAGCGTCCATTCACCAGCTGCTTTTTATATTAGAACTGATTTGAAAACTTTATTATTTACTAAATATATCCATAATTTGAGTCTTAGAAACATTTCAGACCCACTGACCTTACTGGCCTAAAAACCCAGATAAAAAATTACAGCAGGGACCTGTAGCACAATTCAACGTCATCATGACTATTGTTTAGAATTACCTGAAGTCAACAGAAAAAACAATTAAAGAATTTCTTACTTGATGCTCATCTCATCAAACAAAAGATTTTTTTCAGTAAACCTCAGACCCTACTAACCACACAGTGAGAAATGATTTTGTACCTGGTGATTTCTTATGTCGAACACAACATGCCTCAAAGCGTTTTATCCCCCCAATACCTAGTGTATCATATTTGATAGATACAGCCTTTGGGAGTTTTTGATCTATGACATTAAGTTCTCAAAAATCCAGTCTTACTTTTTTTTGACAAATTTCCAAAATTCAGCTTAACAGTAAAGGGTTCTGGACTTTATGTCACAAATGAATGTTTTTGTCTGTATTTTAAATGTTTCCAGTGTACACCACCACAGTGGATTTTAAACTGAACAGTCAAGATGTGTCATGTCTGTGTGTAGGCAGGCAGGAAGAGTGGACCCAAAATGCAGGACTCACTGAAAACACACAGCTTTATTGCTGGTAAGAAGCAGAACAGAAAAACACTAACTAAACTGGAAGAACGGAATAAGTAGGCAGGAAGGCTGGCAAACGGAACACACAGAGGAAGCGAGGGTGAACAGACGTTAACGATGCGACACCGAGTAGGGGAAGACACAGACACTAAATACAAGAGGTGAACGGAGCGAAGAGGAAACAGCTGGGAGACACGGCTGACGCTGATTACACTGACGAGACAGGGAGAGCACAAAGCTGAACGCACTGACATAGGACACAGACCTACAAAATAAAACAGGAAGCACACGCCAGACAGAGCCAGACTCGTAAACAGGCATAATGACGTCATGGACAAACAGAGGGACATACGGGCAGAGAAGACTAAGCACAGGCAACCTAAACCAAACATGAGGGCAAGATAACAAAACCTAAACCAGAAATAATCATCATCGTCATCATCATCGGATAACTAAGAATCAGAATATAATTATAATCAAAACGGTATCACCAGAGAATAAACTAATCCATAATACAAAAATAAACCAAAACATAAGAAACTCAAAATACTGGGTCGAATCGACCCAGGACCGTGACAAGATGTTTATTGAAGGGCTTCAACAAAGTAATGCATTCGCTGTTTGTGAGTGACATATTTAATTTCATATTTTATACATAGTTTCTCATCTTGAGAGGCTCACAAGCAGTCGTGTATATTTTTGTAAATATCGATCACACCTCTGGAATTAAACAAAATTAAAAAACAGAAACCAAAATGACTTTTTACGTTTCTCTTCACACAATGTAACATGAAAAATATAAAGAAAACTTTTACTTACGGAGGCATCTAATCTCTCCAGTCCATTCACTATCATTACATGTTTTGAACGGTCCACCCTTCATGACGTAATAACGCTGACAGATATATTCAACCTTGTCATTATGTTGGTACAGCTGTTTAGTACTTGTTTTGGTGTCTCCATCTGAAAGAGGTGGTGGCCTCCCACAACCCTGGGCACCTGCAAAAGTGTGAGCAATGGAGAAAAAAAAAAGTTTAGACAACATTTAGTCACAATAATTTTTTAGTCACGTTTTTATGTTCATATACCGTCACATACTATTTTACATTTCAGGTGAAGTTTTCATCATGCAATCCGAGTGCAGATCACAGCCTTTAAGACTGCTTTGTCATCCTATATATGTAGTTCTGTTATGCTTAGAAAGTGGTCAGCACTCTTTGTAACTAATGATAAACTGTGTTGTACTGGTATCAAACTCATGTTGCTGTTGAAATGATCTGCTTCTTTGATATATTCATCTACTGCCCTCTCCCACATCTTACAGATCCTATCCTTTTAATTGTTTTAATCATTTTATTGTGAAAAAACAATTTTTTTTTAAAAGTTCAAACTCTTCTGTGGTTCGTGTGTGCTCATCAGGTTCTCACATTTCCTCTGACATGTCCATAGCATGTTGTATTTCCCTGTTCCTCCATGTAACCCATGTTAACTGGTGATGAAATGTGTGATGTCTGTGGCAATGATAGAGGGCCACTTAAAAACACTGAAATCGTGAAAAGGCAAACCTGACATTAAATCTCTCAAAGTGTGACTTTGGGCAGACTGCAATAGTGTATCTAGGAGAAGTAGTGGGTGGTGAACAAGTGAAACCCATCCACTTAAGAACTGCAGCCATTGTGATGTTCTCAGAGCTGCAGCACAGTTTGGGGATGGTGGGTTATTACAGAGGTTTCTATAAAAACGAATTCTTCTTGTTCGTATTAATATTATTATTATTTAATGATATAACTGCAACTAACCCTGAAGTCTACATTGTGGTGTGTTCAGGTATAATCTTAAATGCACCACATTTCAAATAGTTTTGAGCTACTGTCTGTGTTAGTGAAAACAACTTTTCAGCGTCACACTTAACCAACTTCTCAGATTTAATAAACTTGTCAAACTGGTTCCAGCGTCCCTCCACTGGCTGTTTGTTTACTTAGAACATATTTAAAAACTTTGTGTGCAACAAAAGGGAAATGTAACTCACGGCGGCATCTCATCTCTCCAATCCAATCACCATCGACACAGGTTTTGAACGGCCCACCCTCCATGCCGTAGTCTCTGTCACACACATATTCGACCTTTTCATTGTGTCTGTACGTGTTTCTAGTCCATGTTTTGGTCCGTCCATCTGAAAGATGTGGTGGCGTCCTACATTGCTTGGCAGCTAAAAATTGTGGGCAATAACAGAGGAAAAACCAACATTAGATACTATTTTGTCACAATAATCACATTTTCACTCTGACCTGCTGTCATGCATCATTTTTCATTTGAAGTGAAATATTTGTCATACACCCTGTGCATCACTCTCCTTTAGCTTAACACTGTTTGGCCATCTGTGACAAAGAATTAACCAGAAACAATGTTCACACAAACTAATTAGCACAAGAGCAGATCAGGCAGAGGACATTTTACTGATAACCTGAAATGTGTTTTTGCCTCAAAACCAACTATTAATTTCTGGTTTAAAGTGTGTGTAACTTACACTCATTCACACGACACCCCAAGAAATACCAAAAACAGCAATAGCAATCTTTTTCCATCCTTTGTACTGATAAACAGTAAGATCACAAGAGGACAAGTGTTGTACCTTCACATGTGGGAAGAGGATTGCTCCACTGTCCATTTTCCAAACATTCAAGCGTTGCATTCCCTTTGATGATGTGATTACTGTTTTCACAAGCAAATGTTAGATGTTGTCCTTTTTTCATTTGATCGTCTGTTACATCTGCGGTGATTGTTAGACCTGCTGGTGTTTCAGGGACTGTACATTTCTCTGTTTTGAAAAAGAGAATCTGTTTTATGGCTAGGTTTACATTATAAACATGAAACCAAATCAGATTCAAAGTAATAAGACACTTTCTCACTACATTTTCAAACTAAGCAAGTTTTTCTTTAAATATTTATTATTAATAGGCATTCAGTTTCTCATTGCTGTATTGGAGATGTAATCAATGTCCAGTCTTTTAAGAAGTCAGCGAAGAATGGCAATTCTACCCTTAAACAAGTGTAGAGAAAAAAAGATGAATAAAGATGAAATATGTCAGCAGGCAGAATGACAGCCAGCAGTGTTTTTAACTTGACTCCAGTTTTAAATCTTATTCACAGCAATAGTTTATTTTGATGTACTATAGTGAGCTCTTTTTTTCATAGGTATTGTTTAGCTGAGTTGACGAATAACTGTTCAATTGCTGGGAAGTATATGTTAACACACACTGAATGATCCAGATGAACAAACTACCAAAACATCTGTGTTTATAGCAGTGCTAATGATTGCTGACGATCTGTTTAATGTAGTGAATTTAATTAGCAGCACCTGGCAGAAAAATACAACCTTAATTCCTATAAAAGTTCTTTACACTTGAGTCTTCTAATGTGGACAATAGTTGCCCATTATTTCCTTTAAGCAGGGCAGACTGATCAACAGTGAATGAAATGATATCTCGGCAGAGAAAATTCCCTATTGTTGACAGATATTGATAACCACAGCTATCAGTCATTGGATATCAATCGAAACTGATAGTTTTGAACAAAAACCCGATATTCTAATTTCATTCTAGTTTCAGTGTGCATTTTTGCCTTAGACAACTAAGCTTTCAAATCCCCTTGTTAATTTTAGATTAAAATGGTATCAAGCTTCAATCATTTACATTAAACCTCAACAAATCTCCTTTAGCTACAGCATAACAGGGAGAACAAAACTAGCAAATATATATTTTAAACTGGCACCTTAAACTGGTGGGTACTTAAGGGACTGAACATTTCTGTGTTTTGAAGAAGAGAATCTGTTTTACTATGAGATTTACAGTATGAACAAGAAACCAAATGTGATGCAAATATCTGAATAAATCAGCATTACATTTTCAATATATAAAAAAAACTTGAAAGTAAAAGATTTCAGTATAAAAAAATACGTTCATGAAGAGACATTTTCCAAATAGACAGGTGTCTCTTTCTTAAAATGATTAGGAAAGATTAAAAAGATGAAAACTGGAAAATGTATCCAGTTCAGTAATATTTATGTGATGCTAGTTCACAACAGCCGTTATCTCAAGAACCTACAATATTAGACATAAACAGCAAATCAAAAATATAGGATTAGGATTAGAATACTTCCTATGATGACTTTGACCTTACAGGGTTCATCAGGATCATTATATTAATGATTTATGTGATACAAGGGCAACAACACAACTGCTACAGAATGCTGATGTTTTCCTGCAATACAAAATTGCTCCTAACAGCAACTTAAAACAGAAACCCTTATCATAGTCACAGCTCATTTCTGTTACCTCACGTTATTGTGGTAACAAAAGTACACATACCAGAGCAAGTAGGAAAGGGGGAATTCCATTGTTCATTTTCTAAACACTTAATTTCTGTAGAACCAATTAGTACACGTGTATTGCTGCAAAGAAAACGCAATTTATGTCCAGTCGCCATTATTTCATTTGATGGTGGTAATCCAGCTACGTAGAGATGAGGATCCATAACACCGATTTTACAAGATCGATCTGAAAAAAGCAAAATATGTAGAATATATGTGAGTTTATGTAACAAAGCTGCAAAGAGCAAGCAAGAGAGTAGTTGGTTTTAGTGAACACCAGAAGAGCGGAAAAAATCATGAAATCTTATTGGATATTTAAATTATGCTTCAAAATACACAAAGATCAAACCTGAACTATTGCCATATTGTTTAAACAGGCATTGCATTTTGTCAGTAAAAGGATTTAAACATGTTCTTACCTATGCAAGTCGGGAATGGATTATTCCATTGTCCGTCTTCTCCACATATCAGCATAGAAATGCCATTCAGATACTTCCCAGGACCATCACAGCTGAATGTGAGGATGTGATTGGGACGTATGGGAATACAATTTTCTGGTAAACCTTTCACTGTTAACCCTTGAACTGTAGGAGGAGGGTCACATCTGGAAGATGAAACTAAAGTAGAAGAAGAAGAAAAAAAACAGTTCAAAAGGCAAGATTCAGATGTAGAAATCACTGGCCAGAATCTTTATATTTGCTGCAGTTTTTATATTTGCCAGATCATGTCAGAATCCATTTTGCCAGGTTTCAACCTGTGTGTCTGTATTTGTGCTGGAGACACGAAGGTTCAGACCAGTGGAGATAAACCACTGTCAAAACTACAGCTGTGGTCAAAAGTTTTACAATCATCACGGATCAACATGGATATCATTGTAATTTTGGGCTTTGAATGATTGTGTGGAATGACTGATTTAACATTGAGCACTCAATTTTTTTTTTAAAAAGATGTATGACATGCAATCATTCCACCCTGGAATGGAAAACGTTTATCTAATTTCCAGGCAAATAGTTTCAAAATATCTGCCCTTTGCAAACTGTTTACAAGAACAACCTGTGTAAGCAAACCATCTGCTGTGTCAGTTTAACATGCTAAGATTTAATTCATTAACCCTATAAGTTCCCTTATGTAGGGTGGCTAACTTTAACTCTAGCCTATATTTTGGTGAAAGAAAAAATACAATGCTTCTGGAAAAAATGTGAATAGTTTTTGACCTGTCAGTAAGTCTGACTTTTCTGTCACAGTCTGGCTGAGGCAGACTGTATGTGTTGTGAAAAAGGACTCAAGTGCAAACCAAAAACTATGGAACGTGATGTGGATTAACAAAAAACAAGCAGTTTATTAAGGCTGGCAAAATAAATACAAACAAAGGGCATGGGTGAAACTAAACAATAACCTAAACTGGGTGAACTAAAAATTAAACATGAAAAAACCTTAAACATGGAGAACTGACATGATACCTAAAGACATGGTGTGGACGAGCAGACGACCTGAAGGAATGACTGAAAACACATGGCACAAATAATTTGTGTGCTTTCTTATTTGTTGCAGATCACCTGATTGTTCTGTAAATAGATTTAAACGGTTATATGCCTGAGGCATTGGCTGCATTTTTAGGTAAAGAGTACCATATAACTTTCTTTGCAAAACTTAATATTTAGAAATGTACAATTTCCATTTGCATTTCAAGTTATGAAAATGATTCGTTAAACATGTTTGTGGGTTTTACAGTAAAAAAATATAACTTTTTTCTACTCGGATTTTGAATTTTTTCTCTGAATTTAGATCAACTATGGTAATATAGTATGCCAAAATGAAAAAATAACTCAAATTTCAGATATTTCAGGTTGTGCTGAAAATAATGATACCAAACAAGTAGTCAAAAATGGCCAATTATACCCTGGACCCCAGAGGGTTAAACTGATCTTTCTGACATCGAGATGCTGGGTCATATTTCATAATGACTTGACAGAAACATTGTTGAATAAAATGATGACTGATGTGAATTCAAATATGTTTGGAGTCTGATCTGACATGACAAAGTCTCTACATATTAAAAATCATTTAGAATTAAATTCTGATTTTGTCTGTGTGCAGGAAAAATATATATAGAAATAAAGACCGTCATAGCAGTCTTAATGAAGGCAGGACACATCTGAGTAAATGAGATTATATCTCCAAGGAGATAATACCAAATGAAGTTCACACGTAAGTTCGTTAAGAACAATCTGTAGCCACACATTTCTGCTTCCCTGGTGTTTGTTGGCTAATCTAAGCTTTACATCATTTCCACTTTCCCATGCTGTGAAGGTAATTGTGCAATCACTGGTCTAGCCCAATCAGATTTCTGCTGGCTGTCTTCCGGCCAATCAGTCTCCACTCCATGTACTTTAAATCTCACTGCTCATCGGTCATTCTCCCAGGCTTCCATTCAAGCCTCAATCTTCATTTCCAGAGTGTAATCACCAACAACCTAAATTGAATTCTATAGATCAATAAATTATGTTAAATTCATTTTAATGATCTCTGCTTATTGAACTGTAGTCATTCACATGAGAGTGAGACAAGAAAAGAAAGCTTTTGAACTCACGGTAGCACGACCCCCTTTGGAGTGGCTGCCAGCCCTCAGTTGTACATACGTATTTGATGGTGAGAGCTGATGTATAGCCAGGTTCGCAAGCAAAATGTATCATGTGTCCTGCTTGATACTGAGATGTTCTTGTCTCTTGTGTTACTTGGGCATGGGGAACATCTGGAAGTGTTGAACATGCTAATACACAAAACAATATAAAATGGGAAAAGAAGAGAAAAATACACAAAGATTGAAAACATACTGAGTAACTAAGCCAAGATATACATGTATGTATAAGGAAATGACGACCCGTCATTGCTACGAACGATAGTGATGCCAGTAATGTGCAGTTGTTTTAGGACAGGGGTCGGCAACCTGCGGCTCCGGATACGCATGCGGCTCTTTTGTCTTTATACTGCGGCTCCAGGTGGTTTGGGAAAATAAATTAGAAGTATTTAGCTGAAGTGTATTTTTTGTATTAGTTCTTTTTAAACTTGTAGTTCTAAATTGGAAGATTATTGTGACATTGAAATATAAAAATAAAATTATATTTTATTTTTCATCGCTCAAAATAAGCATCACACTCGCGGAAGCCGGTGTACCCGCCGAAACGCCGTGCATTTATCGAGACTTTCAACCCCAGGTAGGCCAATTATGGATCTTCGGATCCACATTATGTCAGCAGCTGTTCTCCTCCGTGAACTATGTTAAAACAAACACTGCTCATGCCTCATGACAGCTTACAGTCCTGCGTAAAGATGAAGGTGACTTCGTACAGCCCCGATTTGCAGACGCTGTTCGCAGAGGTTCAGGAGCAGAAGTCTCATTGTAAACATACCACGGCAGACCCGACGATGTTTCCATGAACACGCTTTTCAGCATCTCTTTATTGACCACTCTTCACACACGGTTGCTGTAAGCATACAGCCGGCTGTAGCTTTTCAGCTCACAATCCGACAACACAAGAGCAGAGAGAGCACAGACTTTAAGTAGACGAGGCGTGATTGCGGGTCCCGCTCAGGTGCGTCCGACTCCCATGCAGTGGCGCTGCAGACCACGCCCCGCCACACACATTAACCAGGTAAAATACATATTTAGGCAGAATTTTGCAAATATCTATTTTTCATTTTTTAGCAGCATAGTGCTGTATATATTGTAAAAAAACAATATATACAGTGTTATTTTCATTTTTGATGTCAACAAGTATTTGCGGCTCCCAGTGTTTTCTTTTGCGTGGAAACCGGGTCCAAGTGGCTCTTTGGGTGTTAAAGGTTGCTGACCCCTGTTTTAGGTCAAGGGTTGTTGAGGCTGGCTGAGCTCTGCTGGCCATCACCAAATTTGAGCAGAGGAACATGGGTAATCATGCTTTGGAACAATCTTTCTGATGTGATACTTTTTTACTTTTATAACCAGGCCTATTGTGTGCCTCCAGAAAATGTACCTATTTAGCTCTAAACCCAACGCCTTACCTGACGTGTAATGGGTCGATCCTATGAAAATCCATTTATTAATGCTGCTCTTGGTATGCTTTACAACTTTTTGTGTTTCATTTTTTCAGCTTTTCATGTGACATTTTTTGGGGGTACATAGCATGTAGTATGGTTGGGTTAGAGTAAGAGTCAGGGTAATTCTGTCATTAATGAACCCTAACAAAAACAAAATATGCACTCTGTAATATAAATAATTGAGGTATTCATACACTTTTCATGACTGTAGAGTTTTTGACGATTTAGTAATATAAGAAAAAACAAACACATTTACATGAGTTATTACATCCACAGTGCAGCAATAGCACAAGTTTAGTTAGTGATGATAAAAACATGAAGCCATGCAACTTACAGTAGCACTTTCCCTGATGGACAACCAGCCAACCATCAGCTGTGCATACAAATTTCGAGATCTGATCTGATATGTAACCAGATTCACAAGAAAAATGTATCACATCTCCTTCCTGGTACACAGCTTTGCTGGTTCCTTCTGACACATGAGCGTGAGGAACATTTGGGAGCTCTGAACACACTAAAAGAGAAAAAGTTACAATTCGTCACATATAAAGTTGTTAAAAAACAATGACTGAAGCTCTACAAGGAAAACAGTTACAAAATCAAAGTATGTCTACAACCATTCTCCTAAATGGTTAAGACCACAAAACAGTTGCATCTACATAATTTGTGGATATACTTCACCTAATAACACAGATAGAAGGATTTATGTTTGACATACATAATTAAAGAGTAATATAAGAAATGTACCATTAATTAAGGTTCAAGGTTCTCAAGGTTCTAAGTTCTTTATTATTTGTCACATGCATAGTTATACAAGTATAACACACAGTGAAATGTAACCTGACACATATAGTATATACACTGGGTGAATGTGCAGTAGTAGCAGCAAGCAGGTGAATTCTGTACATTAATATGAATAGATATCTGACCATTACCATTAATGGTAAAGGGAAAAAATAAGTATAAGTATAAAATTACTAGAGCCCCCCCCCGCCCCCCTTCAAAGAAAACCCCCAAAATAAAACAAAAACAAGCAAAAAACCCATAGCAAGTAGTAAAATCATCTATAATTACTATTTTGTCCTACATTATATTACTACCATATATATGTATGTTAACACAAAAATATACATATTTTAGGGTTGTGTGAATGCATGTAAATTCAAATAGTTGTAAAAGTGTAAAAATAAGACAATTACATTCATACTGTGCTTTTCCCCCTGCTGTAAGTAAATACCTGTGATGACCACATGCAGTGTATATGCCACTCTTCTTAAAGTCTAACTGCCTTTCCACAAAGGTAAAACATGTGATTTTAGGTACACTGAAAAACGATAATAGATCACTTTACCGTTTTGTGACAAAGAAACTTCCACACACCCCCACAGCTGGAGAAACAGAAGGATTAAAGACAGCTTCATGTTCTTTTGACGAATGTTTTCTGAGGAGAATTTCAGTAGCTTCATTGTTCAGTGACCTCCCCCAGCTCGAACTCCACCCAGAGAGATCAGGTCACAGCACAGACTGTCCAGTGGCTCTGTCCAAATGTCTCTATTTAAATACAACCTTGGACTCCTGTTGTACAAGTGCTACGGAGAAGGACTGGATAGGTGGTTAGGTGTACAAAGCACAGGACTTTCAAATGTACTTTGCTAGCGTTTACAAAGAATTTTCAGAAAAAGAGAAGATATCCAGTGATGTGCAGTTTTCTTGCTGAAAGAGCCTCGCTGATGCCAGGGGTTAAGGGAGAATGGCCAGAATGCATCGAGTTGGTGGGAAGGCAAAAGTAACTCAACTTAAATGATAAGTGGATGCTGGACTCCAGGCCTAAAAAGACTGTGGAAAAGGGGTTGTTTCATTGTTAGGCCATGAAACCCAAAGCCCCAAGACTTTCAGCAGAGTTAAACTTATGTAAGAATTAAAACAGACCCCGTGATGCTTTTATTAAAATAACATTACATGCAATTACTGTTACATGTGTGTACATGTGTGTGCTCATCTAGGTTACAAAAACACTTTAATAGCAGGTATGATCTCTTGCCAAAGGGAGGGAGTTTGTTATTTTATTTATTTTTTACTTCTTTTTGTTATCTTTATTTAATCAGAATATGTTCAGACTGGAAAGATAGGGCCACCATTTTGTGTATTTGTCCACAAAGGATTTATGAATGACTTTGATTTTACACAAAAAAAAAAGATGTACTGGAAGAACACAGACTGAGTACATAGGCTTTTATTAAAATGACCACACACATCAGTGCACTAATCATTTATAGATTTGCGTGCTCATGCTCATCGTATCCAATAGACAGAAATGTTACTGGCATGTGGGCAGATGCATTACGCCTTCAATGCACGTCTGACGCATTTCCAAACTGCCAACACGTCTTCCCCTGCTACATATGAACTCAATTACATCATTATGTTCTGAATACAGCTTATCATCGCTGACATATCTGAATTGAATATTGTGTTTGTTCATGTCTTCTCTATTTACAGTGCAGGGTTCTGTAAGAGTTAAGAGAAAAGATTTTGTTAATGTCAGTACAGTACACCAATGCAGGAATGCACAACATACAGTATATCATATATAACTATTCAAGTCTTGATTACAAAGGCACAGTGCTTAAAACCAAGCAAGTCTGATAAAATGCAATCTGTATCTGTATCAAAACTCCAGATATAGTACAGACCTCACACAATATCAAATTATGAAAGTCTAATGTTAAATTGTCTTAATTTTCCCATTTTTTTTAATAACATAAAACAGAGCGCATCTAAGAACATGAAGCCCCCAAATTCTGCATCCTTTCTCAAATAAATTATGTCAACAGCTTGAAAGGCTAATTCCTGTGTAAACTCAATTTTCTCTAAATTTAAGAGTAAAAAAAACTTGGGACCCCTAAAATACTTTTACATATGCAGAATCTTAGAAAATACAACATAATATAGCTATAACTTACTGAGGCATCTCATCTGTCCAGTCCATTTACCATTTTCACAGGTTTTATATGGTGTACCTTCCATTTTGTAGTAATTTTGACAGATATACTCAACCCTTTCTCCGTGGCTGTATTGCCTTTTAGTACTGATTTTGGTGTCTCCATCTGAGAGTGGTTGTGGTTTCCCACAACCCACAGGATCTTAAATGAATATAGATAAAAAACAAACAAAAAACTATTATCTACTCACAATACTATTAGTACCATTATGCAACATCTTACAGTAAATTTTTGTGTAAATCTTTTAGAGATTCAACTCTCCAAATTACTGGGGGTTTATTCCGACTTCTCTTTTTTATATTTACAGCTGTTATTAACATGAGCAGCTTATCTGGGCGCTTATTACTGACTGGGCTTCGCATATGTACATGACATTTCCTACACAGTGATTGTAATTAGGATCAACCGCAAGACTTGTCCAAAAACATTTCCTGTGTAATTTTTGCCTGAGTAAAAGTAACCGTAACTGTTTTGGGGATTAAAAAATGTGATTAAAGCCTCCTGAAATTGCAGTGCACTGTGACTGGATGATCTTTTCTTGTCACATATTACGGGTGAGTTGACATAGAAAAAAACTGGCTTACCTCCGCATGTTGGAAACGGATTGCTCCACTGTCCATTTGCCAAACATTCAACTGTTTTATTGCCTTGCATAAAGTGGTTACGTCTAAGGCAAGTAAAGGTTAGCTTTTGTCCTTTCTTTAGCCGATTGCCTTGTATGTGTGATGTGATTCTTACACTGTCTGATTTTCTTGTGACTTTGCATTCATCTGTTTTAAAGAAGACAGTCTTTTAATCTTTCAGTTTAAAGTGTAATGCAGCAGTAGTCTAGACCCAAAGGAACCAAATAAAATGTAAATCTTAATCGTTATATAAGTTTAACAAATGAAATATAATGATTACATAATTGTTACACAAATATATGGACATTTAAAAAACATGTCAAATCACGTCAGCTTTTCTCAGTTAAAGTAAACCTACCAGAGCAGGATGGAAAGGAAGCATTCCAGTACCCAGTTTCTAAACACTCGATTACTTCAGAACCTTCCAGTTTATACTGATCAGCACAACGAAAATGTAATGTGTCCCCAGTCCTTATCGCTTCATTCCCTTGTGGTAATCCATTTACCTGCAGATTAGGGTCCATTACTCCAACTGCACAAGGGATTCCTGAAAATAATAAGTAAAAGTCATTATTGCGATTGTAGACATAATAAAGTTTTTTTTATTATGCCCTGTGAATGCTACTATTAAACATGGAGAAGCTTATTTAAAGATAACCAAACATGCATTTTGAGAGTTAAACACGAGCAAGGATACTTCCTTTATACTATTTTTATAGTTTTGCACATAGCGGCTGCAAAATGGCTCCATAGTGCTCCCCTCTGAATTGCAAGAAAGCAGAATGCAAAGAATGGACTATGCAGAAATATAAAGAGATCTACATCTTACTGAGGCATCTCATCTCTCCAGTCCATTGACCATTTACACAGGTTTTGTACGGCCCACCCTCCATTCTGTAGTAATCCTGGCAGATGTACTCAACGCTTTCACTATGGCTGTACTGCAGTCTGGAACTTTCCTTCAGGTCTCCATTTGAAAGATGTGGTGGTTTCTCACAACCCTCAGCAGCTACAAATATGGGCAACAAAAATAGAAGTTTAAAAATGTTTTCATCACAATAATCACATTTCACCATGAGTGACACATCACTGACCTTGATCAATTAAATTAAATTAAATTACGTTTTATTCATATACCAAGAATTCATAAAAAATGTTTTTGCAAGATGCTTCATAATGTAAGGTGAAGACGCAAGAGCACAAAAAGATAAGGAAAGATAAATAAACTATATGAGAAAGAAGCAAGTCACAAATAAATAGAGGGGAGTGAAGAAGAAGTGCTAAAAGTATGAACCTCTAGTAGCATAACCTGAATGCCTGATAACAGCAAAAAGATGTACTGAGGTACTCGACTGTAAGTATATGTTCATGAGTTCAAGGTTCATGTAAGAAAAAAGCCGAAAGGTGTATTAGGTGTCCTAAGTCAGTGTTTCCCAACCTTTGGGAGCCACGGAACATATTTCACATTCGAAAAAACATCACCAAACAAAAATGCCACAAAAGTATATTGATAATTTTTACCTGCACACCAAGCATAGCAGAATTGGTTTGATCTGTTCCCAGTATACCCTTTTTGCTTTCTTCTGACCACTACTCATGCTAGGGCCTCCATCTGGGTCAGAATTTTCCCCAGGACCAGGTCAGACTGATTACTTTTTCTTTTCAAATATTTATCTGTTGCTATTACGTGCTCCATTGTTTTACAGCATGAGTATTATGTAATTTCTTCTTTGTCTTCTTCTGTTTTAATGGCAGTTGGCAACCCATTTAATTAGAGCAGGTAGTTGTACTACCCTCTATTGGAAGAGAATGAAATTGTTCTGCCCATTACACCGATCGCTTAGAGTACTAATCAGGTGGAATCAGATAATCTTCCATGGCACACTTGATCATTGCTCACAGCACACCTATGTGCTGCGACACAGTGGTTGGTAAACACTGTCCTAAGTGACTGGTTGGGTTATATACAAGCACCAGTTCTTGCTTTATATGTCATGTGATACCATCGCAGGTGCAATATGGATCCACAGGAATTGGTACAAATCTTGAGCAATATATATTTAAAATGTAGTACACAGGGTATATACAGCAAGCTCATTTCTCATACCTAACAGGACGACTGAAATTTTCACATTTTTCGAGTGTAAGCAGAGGACCTTATAAATATACACTGTTAAGCTAGTTCAAACTACAAATGTCGATAAAAGTAACATTGCTGGTGTGTTGACTGAAAGACTTACTTTCACATACTGGCACAGTACTACTCCATCCGTCCAACTGACAAGTTCGGGTGCCATCGCTATCTCCCATTGTATACCTGCAATTACAACTCATATCTCATTTTGTATTTTCACCCACACACTAAAATTTATAGAGTACTTGAGCAATCATTTTGCTTCCAAGTAACCATTTTAAGTGGTCTTGAGATTGGACATCAGTGATTGGACACTGAATTATTTTTAGGTCTTCCCTTGTACCTAAACCACTTAACACTGTTGATCATCTGCTGTTCACTTAAGCCTCACTGGAAAAGACCTGAGTGGAAGTGTGGGCATTCTTCAGGAAGGGAAACTGGGAGAAAAGACTGAGGTATGTCAACCTAACACAAGAAGTACAGCAAAAATCAGCAGAAACAGATCTTGGAACTCACTTTCACAGTGAGTTCTAAATTTATGTTTAAACATTTTTAAAAATAAGCCTGAACTCTCTTATGCAAGCTTTCTTGTAATTTCTTTAATGCAGTCTTAGGAATAATGTAGTTAATGTAGTCTGCCAGGCTTCTTCAAAGCTCCTTTGAATAACGGCTTCCTTTTATCCCATTCTTGTTGACATTTTTCCAAACAGCATTGTTGTACGGGACTTTTGTCTTAAAACAACTTGAAGAGTTTCTGTTTTAACACACAAATATAAGCAATCCTCATGGGACTTTCAGAGCGCGTACATTATGTCACTGAATTATTATAGATCCACATACCCTAGATTGCAAAAGTATTTGATAGCTGTTCCAAAAACGAGCTCTTCTCCGCGGATAATTTCATAATAGCCATTGGGAACGTCCTCAGGGAGTTCACATGGCTTTACTGAAAAAAAGAAAAAAGAGAATATTTTTCATGAGTAAGTATGAATTAGACCTTATTCTTCTCTTATTATTGCTTATTTTTAATTGAAATCAGGTGCTTGCCGACAGTGACATAAATTTTTTACAAAACTCTTTGTTGATAACAGTGTTGAAGTGTGGGTACAATGTTATTGATGCAGGGATTTGAGGAAGCGATTTGCTATTTTCATACAATAGATTACTGTTAGCAGCATACTGCAGCAGTTTTACAACTGTCTCAGTACAACTCTTTCTAATTCCAAAAAACTAAAGTTTTGGGATAAAACTTTGGTAATTGATATTTTGTGAAATGTTATGAATTGCATCTTAGAAGGGATTAAGGATTATTTGTAACCCTATAAATACAGTCATAAGAGTAACAGCAAAATAGCAGGCAAACCATTTAACTTACAGTTGCATTTTCCCTGACGCAAACTCTCCCAGCCAGTATTTGTGCATATATATCTGAGGGTTGGACCAGATATATAACCAGTCTCGCATGTGAAATGTATCACATCTCCTTCGCGGTACTCAACTTTTTTAGTATTTTCTGACACATAGGAGTGAGGAACATTTGGAAGCCTTGAACATACTGAAAAAAACAACATGGAAAGAGACATATACATAGATTGACCAAGGATTCCAAAATTACATCTACATTTATATGTAAAGAGATAGTAGAACAAATAAAAAAGAGGGTAAGTAGAAGTACAAGAAATGTCTTCTCTTTTAAACTAAACAAAGAACACAGCATTTAAAAAAGTCTGACTCACCGTTTTCTGAGAAAGAAACTTCCACATGTCCCCATAGATGGAGAAACAGAAGGATTAATGACAGTCGCATTCTGTCAAGTGGACTGCAAACCAAATTTTCACTGTGCACAAATCCTTTGACAAACTGTGCGTTTTCTGTGCAGAACTGCTGTGTGTTTATCACAGTATTTGAGGCCAATGGTTAAAATATGGACTTCCCTACTGGAATTGCACAAGCCTCAAAATGACATATCGCAAACAACAAGTTTCACTGAACACGCCAGAGGAGTTCACAGACAACAATTCACAAACCTCACCCTATAATAATTTATAGACTTTATAGAGTTGATTTCTTTCATTGCCTATAAAATAATTTCTAACATTTTACAAAAGAAGGTTTGTGTCCTCTTTCAAACATCATATAAATTAATCCGTCTATTTTTATAATTAAATTAAAATATGAGATTAATTAGTCCTGAAAATATAGACTGGTGTATGATGCTCAAAACAAGTTTGCAAAATATAACAGATGTTATATCTTATTTTGTGATAGAATGATTAGTGTTCGCTGAAAAGGTTACTGTGCAGTTTAATCACCACGACTAGTAAGTCATAAATGGAGATGGTACTGAAGTACAAAGTCCATTGTAAAAGTCAGCCAGAGATTCAGGTCGGTAAATAGTTTTAAAGAAGTTGTTGTTTAAGAGAACATCTTTAAATTCAAACATAACCAATATCTATGCCCAGGGGTCGGCAACCTGCGGCTCTTTAGTCCTTATAGTGCGGCTCCGCGTGGTTTGGGAAAATAAATTAGAAGTATTTAGCTGAAGTGTAATTTATTTATGTTAGTTCTTTTTTAACTTGTAGTTCTAAATTGGAAGATTATTGTGATATTGAAATATACAATTAAAATTATATTTTATTATTTTTTCATGCTCAAAATAAGCGTCACACTCCAGGAGACCGGTATACCTGCCAAAACGCCGTGCATTTATCGAGACTTTCAACCCCAGGTAGGCCAATTATGGACTTTCGGATCCACATTATGTCAGCAGCTATTCTCCTCCGTGAACGATGTTAAAAGCAAACACCGCTCACGCCTCACAGATGACAGCTTAAAGTCCTGCGTAAAGATGAAAGTGACTTTGTACAGCATTTGCAGACGCTGTGTGCAGAGGTTCAGGAGCAGAAGTTCCATTGTAAATGTGGCGAGACGAGGTTGGGATATGAAGTAAATACTCTTCAGTTTTAAAGAACGACAACGCCACCCTGGGAATTTCACCCAGAGAATACTGGAAATAACCCTAAATCACTAAAAAGGCACTTAGGTTCGCTATACTCAATCCAGAGACGAGGTTCAATAGTGTAGGGTTTTCGGTTTAATTGAGTTGAGAGACGGGGTCTCGGGCTTCAGATAATTAAACGGCGCCGAGAGCGCACCGTGAGGCTTTTAAAACAAGGATAACTTGTAATTAAATTTATTTTAGGACTGGAGACGGGGTCTCCTAAGGGCGTAGTTGCTCAGCACTGTGGCGGTGACCCCTGACCTCGGACGCGGGATCAGGTTTTTTGCTCGGTTGGTTGCCGGGGAACTTCGGGCATCCCAAATTAACCGAAGCAGTCGACGGGAGACTGCTTCCTTACTGCGCCAGATTGATTGACAGGGTCGGGGACCCGGCTGCCTCCTACTTAAACGTCAGGAGCTTGTGAACTTTAAGAAAAGCCAGAAACGTGAGCCGGGACATCATTGCCTTTCACGCACCTGGTGGAGATCCGAGTTTTTATCTGGCGAGGTGCAGTTTTAAATAAATTAGAACTTAGTAATGAGGCCGTTTTCAAGGTGGCGTACTTGAAACGTGTAATTGGTTAGTAAGGCGGGGCTCTGGGTTATAGATGCTTTTAAATTAGTCAAAAACTTAGGTGTAACCTCTTCTGGCATATGACGTCTATGCGGGCCCGTGTGTAAATAGGTAAATAGGACTTCAATTACCTGTGTGTGTAAATAAGTTTTATAAATCTGTTGAGTCTGAAACTCCTTTATAATCTGTCTTTTTGTTAAGCCTGAAATTGTCTTTTGTTGGTGAAATTCGGCTGTGTGGATCCAGAGTGTGAAAAAACGAAAACGCCTTTCTCTTCTCTCCCTGACAGAGAAGTGTGTGTGTATTTCTCCTAAGGAGAAAGGAGGGGTTGTGCTGTGCTGTGCGGCAGCGGGCACCCGCGCGCGAGCACGAGCGGTGTGTGTGTGAAGCTGCGGCCTTGATTTCATGTCTGTACTTCTCAATTTTAAATGCTTGACAGCTAGTTTTTGAGGAGGTGAAAGTGTGTCTCTAGGTGATTAAAGATTTCGGTATATTAAATAAACTAAATTTTGTAGTCTTGTGTTTCCGATTTCCTAATGGGAGTAAGGTTTAATGGAATCTCATGAGTAATGATCTCTTGTGTAAAACTCCTGTGAAGTAGGAGTGTGGTGATAAATATATTGATAAAATTTGAGAACTGTGTGATTGTTGGGTATTTTTGGTTCTGTTAGATTTTTCTCTACCTGGAAAAGGCAGAGATATGTGCTTTATTTGATCTTGTGTTTATAAACTTTTAAGCCTTAGTTGAGTCTCTCGTTTTGAGGAGGGTAAATGGTGCAAAGTAGACTGTTTGGATTATTATTATTTACTCATGTAAAAACTGTGCAGTTGTGTGGGAAGTGTATGTGAGAGTGAATTTTTGCTGGCTTTGCGTGCTTAAACTTGTTGCAGTAGAAGTGTGTGAAGTTTTTGTGGTAAAGTAGTGTTAGGGTGTGTGAGTGTGTGTGTCTGTGGGCGGTCTCTTTCTTTTGTCTCTCTCTCAGGCTCAAGCCTAACGGAAGTTGAGCTTGACTAGCTTGTGAGACTTTGACGGCGAAAGGGAAGTACAGCGAGCTTACACCAGAAGGGAGGAGCCTGAGACCGGCCATTTTGGTAAGGTAAGTGAGGTCAAAAAAGCAAAATGGCTGAAGAGGAAAAGGCGACCCCTGGAGGGGGAAAGAAATACAAGCCACTCAAAGAGCAATTACAGCAATTAAAGAAAGCAATCAAAATGACTGAAGGGACCTCTCCTAAGGAAATTGCTCGTCAGTGTCAAGATGTAGAAAAAGAAGTGAAAGAATTATGTGAAAATCAACAGAAGACACTGGAGGACAGAATCCCTCTGCATTCCATTTTTCAACTGGAAGGGGAGAAATGTGAAAAGAGGATCAAGGAGCTTGAGGAGGAATCCATTGGACGTTTTCAGGGGAGGAAGATAAAGGCTGAAAAGAAACGTATGATGGAAAAACATGGTAAGTATTGCAAGCTTATGATTGTTTCCCAAGGTGTTTCTCACTGGATGCAAGAGGAAGTGAAAGACATCAAGCCAGCCTTAGAAAAGGAAGCTGAGGCTGAGGGACAGTTGTATCCCAGCCTGAAGGATTTCCGGTGTGCCCCACCCCCTCCTTATATGTGCCCAGTGGTGACTTTGAAGGGAGGCACTATGTGGGGGCCGCAAGGACTAGAAGGAATCGTGACAGGTGGAATTGTTAATTTACAGGAGAATCCTATATCAGTGGCATCTGTTGCGCCCACAGTGGAGGCAGACACAGGTGTACGGCAGTCTCCATCAGCGGCACCTGCAACAGAGGTAAGTCAGCCCCACTCGGTTGCCGGGACAACACACGGAAGCAGTCCACGGGGGTTGATCTTGGGACCTCCCTCTGTTGGTAGCCTAGATAGAGCTACAAAAGAAGCTCAACCTGTGGCGTCTACAAGTACTGGTCAGGTGTCATTGCAACAGCCCAGCCAGGAAAATCCATCTCAGGAGGTCTGGAGTTCAGAGGAAGATTTACCTGCACGGCAGTGTCAGAAGCCGCCAGCAAAGGCGACCCATAAAACCAATCGGAGGTCATCAGAGGGAAATGGTGAGAGAGAACAGTGGCAAGGCCACGTCGTTGGGGAAGAATCCGATAATCGGGAGGCTGTGATACACCTGGAACGCCTCTTGAAGAAGCTGCAGGATGAAGAGGAAGCAACACCACGTAGTGTAGCCCATGCGCTCCAGGTGGTGGAGGAGGGTTTGGTGTCTGCTGAAAGAAGCAGCACACGAAAATCCAGAGAAGTGAGAAGCCTAGAAAGGGGAGGGCTGGCCCCAAATTTTCAAGCTCCCACAGGAAGGACGACCCTTCGCTCTGGGAGGGTCTTGGGGGACCCAAGAGATAAAAGACAGTCGATCTTTGACAAGAATCGGAAGAAGTTTGGTGGATTGCTAGCTGCTGGAGGGCAGTGTGATCCAGAGGAGGACTTACCCCTGACAATGCCACTACTGACAGGTGCTCAGGGGGAACCAGTATACCACCCATACAATATCAGAGATCTTGACGCTCTGGTGAAGCAGCTGCCTCCCATCACCGAGGGAGGAGCGGCTTGGCTGAGAAAGCTCGGAAATCTTACAGAAGGAGAGGAGCTCGCTCTGGGTGATTTCCGAGCTATTGGAGGGAGGATCATGAGAGGTGGAGGCCTAGCAGATGTGGAAGAGATAGCCAGAACTACATGTCAACCAAACGATGTCCCCTATGCAAGGGTGCGAAATGCTCTCTCTGACGCAGTGCGTGAGAAGTATCCGACCCATAACACTGGCACTACACCTAGGATTGTTTGGACCCCAGAATACTCCCCTAGGGAGTTTATGGAGCATGCAAAAGAACAGTGGATCCTCCAAACAGGAGAGCATCCTGGGCGTGATGGCGAACCAAGGGCGTGGTTCCGATCTGCAGTGTTAGCAGGTCTCCCAGAACGAGTAACAAAAGATCTACAAAAGAATCCAGACTTTGCGGTGGCAGATTCAGCAAAATGGGAGAGGCACATTATACATCGACTTGAGCTGGAGAAAGATGAGGTGAACAAGAAAAAACAGGAGCTGGAAGAGGCGCAAGGGCTGTTAGTGAAATTGAAATTGGCTGAGGCGAGAGAAAAATTAAATGAAAAGAAAAAGGAAAATAAAGATGGACCTAAGAAGATGCTGGTGGCGCAGCCACAGGGTGATCCGGGGCCTGATTGGCCAGATTTGGATCCGGTTCTGTATCCTGATGACCGATGGCCCGCCAATGCACCAAGGCAAGGAAGACCCGCGGGGAATTGGGGGGCTACTAGGTCGTGGAGGGGACGAGGTGGATCTCAAAGGGGAGGTGGACCAAGGGGCCGTGGTCTGGGGGGACCTATGCTGGACCCGAATGTATGCATGAGGTGTGGAGGACGAGGACATTGGGCTCGTGATTGTCCTACACCAGGGCTAGCAGAAAGGAGTTATCAACCACCACCCCAGTTTCAGAGACCGCTGCGAGGCAGGACAGTTCAGACGAGGGGACATCAAGCTCCAAACCCAGGCATGGCGCCAGCGGCCCAGTACCCTCTGGCCGATTGGGGCAGGGAGGAGCAGTACTGACGGGACCCACAGAGACAAGACAACATGGGAACGGTAGACCCAATGTTGTCAATAAGTGTCGAAGGAACCGAAATGAACTTTCTTGTGGACACTGGAGCTACCTACTCGACGCTGAAACAAAAACCAAGCAGTGCCACACTTTCCAACCATGTGGTCAGCGTTGTGGGGTTTACTGGGGTTCCGAAAACTCTGCCGACAACCAATCCAGCCCTGACGGTGCTGGGAAAACAGACTTTGAAGCACAGCTATGTGGTGGCTCCCGATGTACCTGTGAACTTGATGGGCAGGGATCTGCTCATCAAACTGGGGGCCACTATAATGTGTTCAGCTGATGGACTAACAGTAACACTTCCAGGAGGAAAAGAGTTTCCGTGCCTGGGGACTTTTTCAAAGAACCAGTATTTGCTGAAAGACTCTGAACAAACGACTGCAAATCCTGCTGATATTTACTGGGGTCGGTTGGTGGATGAAGGCATCTTGAGACAGTATCAGCTGTGGAAACCTTGGATTATGGCCTTGGCAGTCTACTCTTCCCCCCGAGATCCATACCACGTCACCCTCTATTATGATAGGAATGACGACGAAATTTATAAGGACCTGTTCCAGTCTGAGCTTGAAGGTCAGACCTGGAATGTTTGTTCTCAAAATATCTATGTTGGTCCTGAAGGCGTCGCTGCAGCAGTAAATTTAACCGACAACCAACGGCCTTGGTTCAAAATGGGGCCTGATTCAGTCCCTCACATTACATTGGCGGTCCATGAGAGTCATCAGGCGAAGGAGCTGGGAACAATGGTCAGAAGAGCTCTCGGGGAACCTGGTTGGCAGCCTACTCAGATTCCAGATGTTTGGTACTCGCCAAAATGTAAAACTTATCGTATCACTTGTCAATCAGAGGACACAGTGATGTTGGAGCATGAACAAATCTCAAGAATCCATGGGAGAGAAAGAATAGACCATGCGGATGCAGTTGCCGCACTTGCCACTCTTCCTGACACCTTGTGGTCAGCAGGTCCTACAGATGTGGGCCAGGCAACGTGTTCGCCTGTTCTATTCCAGCTGAAGTCTGAAACGCCAATTTGGAAACCACAGTATAGGCAAAAGAGAGAAGCTGAGGAGGGAATTGCAGAAACCATTGAGGGGCTGTGGAATGTAGGGGTGCTTGAGCCCTCTCAATCCCACTGGAATACCCCTATTTTGCCAGTAGAGAAGCATGGGACCGGGAAGTACAGAATGGCACATGACTTAAGAGCCATCAACGCCATTCTACGTACTGACACGGTGCCAGTCCCAAATCCATACACAGCGCTGACAGCATTAACACCAGACCAGAAGTGGTTTACATGTATTGATCTAGCGAATGCATTTTTCTGTCTCCCATTGCATGAGTCTCTGAGGGACATTTTTTCATTCACATATGGGGGACAACAGTACAGATACACAAGATTGCCACAAGGGTTTGCACTTTCCCCTGGCATTTTCAACCAAGTGTTGAAAGAAGCTTTATCGCCATGCCATCTTCCAGAGGGGTGTACACTGGTGCAATATGTTGATGATTTGCTTATTGCAGCGCCGTCTGCTTCGGCGTGTACGGCAGCTTCACTTACCATACTGAGAAGACTTGCTGAGTGTGGTTTCAAGGTCAGCAGAGAAAAGTTGCAGTTGGTCCGACCAGAAGTAACATTTCTGGGCCGTGTCATTGCTCACAAATCAGTGGGTTTGTTGAACACCCACCGTGATCAGATTTTGACACATCCAAAACCACGTACAGTTAAGGAGTTGCTCTCGTTCTTGGGGTTGACAGGATACAGCCGGCATTTCATTCCAAATTACGCAGGCAAAACAGCCCTGTTGAGGGATTTGGTAAAAACGGCAGGTGTCAGAAATCTTAAGGCTGAACTGCCATGGACATCAGCCGCTGAGTCGGCGTTTATCGCATTGAAACAGGACATGTCACGGTCGGCTGACCTTGCCATCCCCAATTATGAGCAACCCTTCTATCTTGATGTTTCAGAAACAAATGGGATAGCTAATGGGGTGTTGTTTCAGAAAAAAGGGGGAGGAAGAGATGTACTTATGTATGTTAGCATCAGGCTAAGTCCATTAGAGGCAAGGCACCCAAGATGCACTCAGCATGCCATTGCGGTGTCGAAAATTATACAAAAGACAGCACATATAGTGAGGGACCATCCATTGAAGGTGTTGACCACCCACAGTGTGGTGGCATATGTTAACTCACAAGCCTTCACCATGACACCTCTCACACAACAGAGAGTGTGTAAAGTGTTAGACGCTCCTAACTTGACCTTCACACATGAAGGAATTAACATGGCAGATTTAATGGAGTCAGGAGGAGAACCTCATGACTGCGCAAAGAGAGCTGAAGTGGACGAGAAGATAAGAGAAGACCTGAAAGCGGAACCTCTGACCGGAGCTGAAGACTGGTTTACGGATGGATGCTGCTACAGGGACGATGAAGGATTAAAAGCAGGCTACGCGGTGGTTTGCAGGAAAGGGGTTGCATTTGAAGTGAAGGAAGCTGGAAGACTTGAAGGGCAGCAGTCAGCCCAAAGAGCAGAAGTAATTGCTCTAAGTCGAGCTTTGAGACTTGCAAAAGGAAAAAGAGTCAACATTTACACGGACTCAGCTTATGCCTTTGGAGCAGCTCATGTGGAGCTGGCCCAATGGAGAAGAGCAGGATTCAGGACAGCAGAAAATGCACCAATCTGCCACAAGAAGGAAATGGAGGAACTTGAGCAGGCCTTGGCAGATCCAGAGGAGGTGAGTATCATAAAATGCAAAGGCCACTCCTCAGGAACTGGTATGGTGGCTAGAGGAAATCAGGAAGCTGACCGAGCTGCAAAAGAGGCAGCGGGATATAAAGCGTCACGACAGATGGTACAAATAACCGTTGAGGAAGAACAAGGCGTGAACATGCTACAAGAAGCCAGGAAGGCTCAAGAGGAGGCGGCCCCAGAGGAAAAGGGTGTTTGGAAGAGCCGAGGAGCCTGGGAAGAAGGAGGTCTCTGGCGAGGACCTGACGGTCGACCAGTGTTGACAGCAAACTTGGCAAAACAGAAGATTGCTGAAGCACATGGCCTTGGACATGTAGGTGTCGCCCAGATGGGAAGACATCTGTGCCATTGGTGGCATCCTTTTTTGAAGGATATGATCAAGGAAAAGGCCAGGTCGTGTCTGATTTGTGGGAGGCACAATCCGAAGCCAGTGATTAAACCAGAAGCAGGTAAGTTTCCCATTCCAGAAAGACCTGGCGAAGAGATTGTCATTGACTACACTGACATGATTGACCCAGGCCCAGGAGGAGTTCGATACCTGCTGGTAAGTGTGGATACTTTGACGGGCTGGCCTGAGGCATGGCCAACCAAGAGGGAGGATGCAAAAAGTGTGATTAAGTGTCTAATTAATCATTATATCCCCCGCCATGGTTTCCCGAAACGGATTAGATCCGATAATGGGACTCATTTTAAAAATAAAGATTTGGCAGAAGTAGAACAGAAGCTGGGGTTGCAACATAGATTTGGCACTGTGTATCATCCTCAGTCGCACAGGGAAAGGTAGAAAGAATGAATTTAAATCTGAAAAATAAAATTGCAAAGATTTCTGCTCACACGGGGCTAAATTGGGTAGCAGCCCTGCCGATTGCATTGATGATAATAAGATGTTGTGTTAATCAATCTACAGGTTTCACACCATACGAGCTGTTGACAGGACGACAGTTTCCAGGTCCTTGGACAACAGTTCCAGCGGAGGAATGTGTAAAAAGTAATAGAAAACACATTGAATGTTGGAAAGAATTAAAAGCTCTTGTGTCTAGTTTCACACAACAGGTTGGAGAAGGGGTGAAACCGGAGGATAGGTCCATCCCCGATGCCAAGGCGGTCTGGCTGAAGGTCATTAAGCGAAAGTGGAGAGACCCGAGGTGGACTGGACCTTTCGAAGTCACTGCCCGAACCACCAGTGCTGTCCGTTTGAAAGGGAAAGGTGAAACCTGGTTCCATTGGTCTCAGTGTGCAGCCGCAGACGAGAGCTTGCTGGAGCGAAGCTCCACCCCAATCAATACAGGGGGGAACATAGAGGCAGAATAATCCTCTCCCCCTGTGCAACGGTCCTCCTCAGTAGTCTAACCTGAGTCGAGGTGAAGAAAGAAGAGGAGCATCATATCTCAAGTATCAATACATTTACTTCAGGCTCCTAAATAGGCTAGGGCTCTAGTCTAAGTATTCGATGGTTTAAAGGAATTTTAATAATTTTGTACGTTAATCACATACGTTTATACTTATAACTTTATATTCTTAGTACGCATCGTAGAGTAAAAGTAAAACGAGCCTGGCACCAACATGAAATTGTGGGAGAATTGGAAATTAACGGGGGTGTTGGGGTTAATAAGTGTTATAACGTGTCTCTTTGTTTTTTGGCAGACAGGTGAATTGCCCAGACGCAGAGGTCTATCCACTCCAGAGCCCGAACCGAGCAAAGCGTCGAAAAAAGTCAAGCGTGCGGCGGTTGGTTCAGGTGGGGATGATGGGTGTCTAAAAGCTACGGGCGGCGTCGAGTTTGGGTATGTTAATGGGTCCACGACGGCGTTTACATTTGATTTGTGTGAGGTACTTAAATGTTCGGGGGACGGTAATACCTGGAGATCATATAATGTGTGGGTTTGTTACCATCCAATGATGTGTTACCCTAAGTCGGTGTGGGGCCCAGCATGGGATAGTGAAATCTACACCTATATAACGGATCAGTGGTGTTCTTGGCAGGATGTGGTCGCATGGACAGGAGTAGGATGGCAGCCAAAAGTGCCACCGGCCCTGGAAGGTATAGCGATTCAGAGAGATTATTCTGTTGCAAATAATCCTATTACTCTTTCCCTAGGACCGTGGAGTGAGCTCCCTGAGTCTGGATTCGATGGAGGTGCGTTTTATTTAGTAGTAGGCCTAGATAAAGTAGGGACAGATCCATTTGGGTTAATTCGGGTGAATTTATATAATCCCAGGTCTACACCCTTGGGGTCTGATTCGGCATTAAATCGTACGGAGAAAATAGATCCAGTAGAGACAGTTACATACAAGGACCCAGAAGAGAAATGGTTTGTTGCCACTGATTATACTAGGTTAAAACCTCAGGAGTTGATAGAGCGTGCCACAGGTTTCGGAGATAGGAATCTTTGGTTAGATTGGGTGGCTCAAAATGCTAAAGAGCAGGAAGTGGTTGATTGTGTTGCTTGTGCTACCGCTCGACCTCATTTGTTTACTGAACCCGCTCCTCTGTATCCAGAGGATGAGTGGGGTTATAATTGCATGCTGAGATTAACTAGAGAGGCGTTGGACACAGGTAACTGCACCACTTTGTCAGGTTTATATCCGCCAATTGATAAACGTACACAACCAGGTTCATTCACACCAAAACGAGATAATTATACATGCTTTGACTTTTCTACCGATAGAGTGAGATTTAGGCTGGGGAGGATTGATCCGAGCTGGTGTCAGAGGACAATCATAGGAAGAACTACTAATGATGTAAGTGACCCAAGCACAGTCATAGGTACCTGGGCAAGGGGGGGGTTGTACTATTATTGTGGAGAGTATACCCTCTTGGTGCAGGTTCCCTTGGGGAGTGTGGGTACTTGTGCCTTGGTGCGCTTGGCTGCACCGTTGATGCTTATAGGCAGTAGGCTAGAGACAGTTCCGCAGCAAGGCGCGGCTGTGTCTACGGCCAGACGGAGGAGAGCTACTGGGGATGCTCACAGGTATGATCCAAGACGGGACTCGCCAACCTGGATTGACTCAATAGGAGTTCCCAGGGGAGTTCCAGATGAGTATAAGTTAGTGGATCAGATAGCGGCCGGGTTTGAAAGTGTGTTTTTGTGGGTAACTCCAAATAAAAATGTTGATCGTGTTAATTATGTTCATTATAATGTGTTGAGACTTTCTAATCTTACCAGGGACGCGGTGGAAGGCCTGGCGGAGCAATTAGGTCCGACGTCGCTAATGGGAATCCAAAATCGAATGGCGCTCGACATGTTATTGGCTGAAAAGGGAGGCGTGTGTGCGATGTTCGGAGATTTTTGTTGCACCTTCATTCCTAACAATACAGCTCCGGACGGTACGGTCACGCGGGCGCTGGACAATTTGAAAGCGTTATCTAGAACCATGCATGAGCATTCAGGCGTGAGTTCGGGGCTGGGAGATTGGTTCACTTCTGTTTTTGGGCAATGGAAAGGTGTTTTTATGTCTGCCATGTTTTCTCTTTTGGTTTTTCTAGGTTTGTTGCTGATCGGGTGTTGTCTCATTCCTCTGGTAAGGCAGGTGTTGGGTAATCTGGTGAGCAGGGCCATAGCTTCTGGTTCAGCTGAGTCAGCTGGTCCGGAACACATGATGCCTTTGCGAGAAGCCGCCTGGACGGAGGAGTGACACAATATCTGGGTAAAGGTTGGCCTTTTTTCTAAAGGCCAAAGAGGAGGAATGTGAACAGGAGATAGTTTATTTTCTACTTTTTGTATACTTATGATCACAGTATAAGCAGAAGTATCAATCATTAATCATTTACCATTGTTGAACCAGTTGACACAATAATTTTGAACTACATTTATGAGAATATTAATCTATACAGATTATCAGTACTTTAATTAGTCTACTGTTGTTCTGTACTATTCTTGTGATTTGCTTAAAGCTGTGGCCTAGTTCTGTTTTACAGAAGCCTGTGGGTCCTGCTGGACCCTGGCTTAGGATGTTATCTGCCTTAAGTTCTGCACGTACGCAGGCCTTTAGAAAACTTGCACGTACTTATATAACTCACGCACGTTTACACACACACTTAGTAAGAATAGGGGGGTCGTTTGAGGACACCATTCTGATAGATATACTTTCACAAAATGCACACTGTAATACACACTTGTTTTTCTCTAAAAACTAGCAGTTCATGTCCATATTAGGTAAACTTTTGAACCAGGCCCAAACTGTTATCATTTCCAGTAAGTTCTGACTGTGTGATGTCATCATGTTAATAAAAGGATGAAGATGCCTCCGCCCAGCGGAGATTCTTGATGTGAGACTGTTTTCCCCGCACTTGTGCACAAAGTGTGTAATAAAATCACTATTTTTGTCACCCATACGGAATCAGCTTGTTTTTCCTTCTTAACCAAAAAGAACCAGACGTAACACCAACCCACTTTCAGCCTGGCCCATTAGGGGGCGCTGGTATAAATAGTGGCCATTTGAGTGTCTCTGCATCGCTTGCCTGTGATCTCCTTTTTGGTCACCTGACTTCCTCGGTGTGGTAGAGATCGTTTGTGGGTTACGCCTCTAAAGTCTCCATCGCGGCTGGTCGTAGCTATAGAAGCCTCCTCTGAGCTATTCGGCTTACATTCTATGACACGGCTTACTTGGTACGTAATCAACTTTTGTTACGCTCTCTGCCTTCTATTGCTCTTTTATAGTAATTATTTATTATGTTTCGCAGGAAGTGTGGGCCTTAGTTTTGCGCCAAGCTACGTGAACTGAAGTGCTGCTGTTTTGCCTTGCTGTGCTTTTATCGTCGGTTCCCGTTGTGAGATTTCTTTCCCTGCTGCTGTCAGCTTTTACAGAGGACGTCGGCGTGGACAACGGCCATATGCATGCCGGTTATCGGAGTCAGCTGGCGTGCATATTGATTGACTGTTAACTTGTCGTTGTGTGACGGCAAGTTGGAGCAGTACGGCGATTCCGTTTGCTCCAGATTTTAGAGTTTTATCCAGATTGTATGTTGTTTTATTGCTTTTGATTTGTAGTTTGGATTTTTGTTACACCACTGGTGGGAGGCCCTTTTTCTAGCTGTAGATCACCAGTGTGGTCCTGCAGTTGGGTTATCCCCCGGTGCTACACATTAGTTTGTTGTAATATATTAAAATTTTCTTTGTTTCTTTTATTCAGATGCGGAGTGCCGACGTGGAGGAGACTAGGGTGCCTTGGTGGTGGGATCCCTTGAGTGTACACACCCGCCTTGTTTAGTTTATTAGTGTGAGTGTGTGATAGTGTGCTGCACTTGTGTTTTGGTGTGTTTTCTTTCTTTAGTTTGTGTGTGGCATCCCTGCCCCTCCACTGGTAAGCCTCAGCTCTGAATACCTTTTTAAGCATATTTGTACTTGAATATTTATGATTGTGCTTTTATATGGTGTTTTAAATAATTATCAATAAATTGTCAATTTGTTTATT